CCCCGATAAGGGCCTTAAAGATGGAGAAATAGTACAAGGGAAGGCTACCGAGCACAGATTTTACTAGTGTAAGCCTCCCGCCCATGGATAGAGTAGCAGCCTTCCACGAGGATAAGCGTGCTTGGACTCGATCAATCAAAGGTTTCCAATTTTTTTATTAGGCCCATGTTGGCCCCCACCGGAACACCTAGGTACGAAAATGGAAACGAGCCTGCTTCACATCCAATAACCCTTGCACTGGCAGCCAAGTCACGCTCATAGACACCTTTCTAATATATGATAATGAATACTAGCGTTGAAATTCAATTTATAAATCATTAACTTGACTTCTATCTTGAGGCTACTAACTCATCAAACTAGTGCTTCTTCGAGAGTACCTACTTTGATGACTATTGGCTCCTTGTGGTTCAGGGAGAGTCAGTCAAAAAAGTATGAGAGCTCAAATGTCTTTTAATAAACTCTCAATTTATCAAGAAATTGACTATGCTTAGAATATAACTACCTAAAAATTTACACAACTATATATTGTAAAATAGTGGCAAGAAAGAGAATATTTGGGTCAATATAAAGTCCTATTCTCAACTACTAAGGATGTACTAATTGTCCAAATTAGTAGTGTAGCTTAAAATGTTGTTTTTCTCTTAATGACATGATATAAATGCTCAAATATGTATGTTGACTCATGATTATGATGGGTTTTATACAAACAATCCTATGTGTGCATGCAACCCTGGATACGGATCTATGTTTTCACTATTAGTTATACTACATTATGAACACAAAAGAAACCTAACATGCTCCTATGTAATTTCGAAAATCATAAAGGAGAATGGAATACATACCTCTTGTTGTTATATTGTAATAACAACTTATATCTTGAATCTTCTTGTCTTTGAAAGCAAGTACCACAAGTGTAGTACCTCTAATGGCTCACAAACACCAAGAGCAAATGGAGAGGCAAGAGAGAGAGAGAGAGGGGAGGTATGAAATTCGGCTCTAGGAACCCTAGGTATCAAGTGGCCGAATTTCTTATGCAAAGGGGTCTTTATATAGGTGTAGGAATTAGGGTTTCGGTCCTTATCCTTATCTGGTTGCTTAGCCACCAAGCAGCCCAAAGGATAACCCTAGAAACCTTATCATGGACGAATTCTATGGCCTTATCCCCTTGAATTCGTCCACCCTATCATATAGGGCATCCTTTGCCCTACTTTGCAACTATCACATGATTATAGTTCAGTCCCCCTAGTTCAATTAACTTCTTTTGATCACAAAATTAATTCTTAATTAATTCTCGACCAATG